TAAATAGCCTGGATCTCTAAACAAGAATCTGTTGTGTATTTAAAAAAAACTGTTCAACAGAATCAACTTCCCTTCAAGTTAAATAAAAAACACATTTTTTACTTTATTATATTGATTACTTGATTAAAATGGTTTGGCTAAAAAAAGATGAATTTCCTGCTGTTAAAGGTAAAAGAATGTGTTTTTGGATGTTAGGTACTTGTGTCATTCGAGGACATGGAGGTGGCTCAGGAGATGGTGAAGGTCCACAGCTTCAGGCCTTCAGTGGTTAACGGCACAGAAGTGAAAATGACTCTTCTCAAACAGCACGTTGGCCGAAACACACCGGTACAAGAATCAGCTCAAAACTGCCACTCACATCTTACAGATGTTTTTGTCAAAAAGAAAACAGTTAACAGAAAAAAAAAACGATTCATTTTTTAAAAATGTGTCCTCACAGGTGGCTCTCTACAATCTTTTCATGGGATCAGCGGATCCTTTGGTGAGTTTGGCTTTGTTCACAGGCCTTATCTGTTTCTTAGTCAACAGACTGATTGCCATATTGTTGAGTAATAGTCACTTCAGATGTAGCCTCATTTTGTTTTACACTTCCCAGCTCTATAGTCATCTCTTTAATCAGAAATAAGAAAAAATCCTTAAACAGATAGTTGACTGCCCTCTTTCAGGAGAATCTGGCTCCAGTTGTCTGGAACCGCCTGCTGGTTATTAAGAATGTTCCAGAAACATCATCTGGACCCTCTGAGGTGAAAAACGTGATTCAACGCTTCGGTAAAACCAAGAAGACTCTAGTTCTCAACGGCATGGTAAGGACCATTCTGCTAATCCTGCTCACACTGTTGTAAACCCCTAAAGTTTAGACGGTAACATTTTGTAAAAGACAGTCTTCATCAGATGAGTGACGTCACACTCTGGTCTTTGCTCGTTCTCAGGTGATTTGTGAGATGGTGACGGCAGCCGTAGCTTTGTCAGTTTACAAACGCTTTCAGAAGTTTCCCTGCATCGTCCAGAACAACCCGCTGTCTTTCTCCCGCAAGCCTGACCCTAAAGTCACACATGCCAAAGTGATCGCTGCATTTTCTGATTCATCTGAGGTTCGTGAGTTTAGTGTCTTGTTATGGTTGGAGAAGACTGTATGTGAGTCCCTCTCTGTGTCCCTGGTTTTATTCAGGTTAAACCTGTGGGTAGCAAAGACAGCCAAGCAGCTGCAGCATCTCAGAAAACAGAGGCTGCATCAAATCCAGAGATTTCTGAAGCTCCTGTAAAAAACACTTGTGATAAAAAGAGCAATAAAAAGTCTGCTGAAGGTGAATCATTGAAACAAACACAGAGCAACGATGCCAAACTACACCCAGACCCTCTAACAGAGTCGAAGAACACCGAAGTGAGCCAAAAAGTGGAAAACATTGAGAAGATCAAATTAGCCAGCTGCGAAGGAACTGCCCTTGAGACAACCCTGCCACAACTGCCAAAGGTAAAGCATCCATTAATACATAAATTTAAAGTTCATTAGCAGATACATGTATGAGTTTTACCATCAATCTGTTGATTCCTGTTTGAGCAGATCACTCAGTCTATGGTTGACGTACTGCTGGAGGAGTGCAGGATCAGAATGGCCAGGAACTCCAAAAAGGCTGCCCCTCATCTTGGTGGAGAGCAGCAGAAAGCACATCAGCAGCCAGAGCAAGAGAAGAAARCAGCAGGCAAGGCAAAAGGCTTGTCCAAGAAGACCACGGGAGGAAAGGAGGTGGTGAAGAAGCAGGAGAGGGAGAAAAAAGACAAAGATTTGAGGAAAGGGAAGGAAACGAGAGAGAGGGAGAGGGAGAGAAGGGCTTTGGAGATGGAAAGGGTCAACATAGAGAGGGAGCGGGCTAAGAAAGCCAGAAGGGAAAGGGATGGGAAAGAGGAGGAAAGGAGAGAAAGAGAGAGGAGAGGCAGGAGGAGAGAATATGGTGAACGTCAGTCTGGGTCGAAGTCTTCCTACAGGCCTGAGAAACACAGGGCTGAGCGGTCCGGTGTGGAGGCTGAAAACAGAACGGTAAGAGAACGTTCTCACATCAGCAGCTGTAAAAACCCTGAGAGTTCAGTCTCRTGCCAGAAACAATGTTCTTTGTCTTTAATCAGGAGGATGAGGAGTTCCTCTTCAGCATGAGTGACTTTGTAACAGTTGATGAACTGGGAGAGGTGACAGACCTTTGCCCTTTGTCTCCYACTGTCCCTGTGGAAACTCCACAGGAACAGAGTGACTCTCCAAAACCCGGCAAGCAGGATGTTCCTGAGGTTTGTTCAAGCTTTTCAAAGTCAAATATTACACCTCCCTGGGCAAGCAAAAGAACGTTTGATTGTTTTTTCAAAGTAATGCCTGGTTCACACTTCAAGATTTCAAAATTGTTGKTTTGTCAAAACCTGAGAGATCCCACACACGAGGATAACAGATCACAGATAGTATATCAGGTTTGATCCTACAGTGTGTGGTTACAGCCACACCGCAAAGACAACACACCAACAGATTTCTTTCATAAACATTCCAATGTCAAAATAAATAAGCAACAAAAGTACAAACCATATAAAGTAAATCCGAGCTACAATGCAAAACTTTTAAACACAAAAACACATACTGAAATACACTCACGTTCACCCTTACACATATTCAGTGCTTCCCCTGCACCAAACCAGCTAGTATATTAATAAAAGTAATTAAGTAAAATAAAATCCATATACATAAAAAAATCATAGCAACTGGCGCATACACAACAACAAGACACTAAATAACACATACTGTATAAATACAAAATGCATGTGCTTATAATGGCGTACTGGCATAATGGCAAAATGGCATACTCTTTGTAATTTCGTTTTAAATGTTGTTTTATTGATCTTTTTAATTTTGTTTTGTTACTATTAACTGTTGTTTTTAAGTGCTTTTGTAAGGTGACCCTGGTTTTTTTCTGCTTCTTCTCTTTCTTCTTTTTAATCGTTCCTCACCTGCATCCCCTAACTCCATATCACTGATTATTACTCATATTAGTACTTGATTTAACAAGTAGGCTTTAGACTTTATTGTCCCAAGGGAAAATTCTTTTCCACAAACCAACCCCTGAACTCCCATCTCAGAGTATACAATAATAACCAACAAAAAATATTTGTCCTCAAATTTAAGTACTTGTAGGTTAAAAAAGTGGTATCAGTGTACCTCTGCTTGAAATAGTTCTTTAGTTTCTATATTTAGTGTCATTTTCCTCACTGTTTCTGAACTTCCTGCCGTCTACTTGTAGAACACACACATGGAGAGCGCAGTGACCCAGGCACAGTCTGATGAGAAAGCTTCAGAGGCTGAACATATCTGTGTCGAGTCAGTTGAAGAATCAGATTCCAAACTGAAGCAGGACCTCAGCACCATAGAAAACCCTCTGCTGGMCTCACAAGTTCACAGTTTATCAGGTGAAACGTCAAGTCAAGCAGAAGCAAGTGGATGTAACAATCATCCTGACACAGGTAAAGACTCATACATCAACCATGAGACAGGAATCATCACTTTCAATAACCTGAGACAGGTACAGTCTCATACACCAACCCTTAGACAGGTACAGTCTCATGCACCAACCCTGAGACAGGTACAGTCTCAT